ATGCTATGAGACATTCAAAATGACTCAAGGATGTGAATCTATCTTTATAAATCCTTTCCTCCTCATTTACAAATACAGCTGTGTTGATCAACAGGTGACCTGCTCAGGTAAGGATATGAGTTACTGTGGATACTTGAACATGTAGTTTCTCCAGTTTTAGTCATGGAATTTTGTGGTGTGGGTTTTTTAATGAGGAAAAGCTGAATCTTTCTCTTTAAATGCTGACTCTCCTGTCCTGACTCTCTACAGATTCAGATTCTAATGACGAGTGTCAGGCTGCTCTGTGTGAGTGTGACCGAGCAGCGGCTCACTGCTTCAGCAATAAAACCTACAACCCTCAAAACGAACACCTGTATTCAAGTTCCCGCTGTGAAAAAACAGCCTTGCATTAAAGGAGAGACTGATGAAGTGATTGTTGGATTTCATTAAAAGCTGATAAAGCCAGAGTTTGTTTGGAGAGCTTTTGTCACAATGATCACCCAAACAATATTTCTAATGGGTTTTTAGTTTTAATCCTTCAATTAAACTTGTTTTCATTTCTTTTTGTGGGTTTAAAACTATTCAAATTTCATTTAGCCATTTCATTTAATCGTGTCAGCAAAAATCTCCAGAACCTGCCTTTAAAACGACTCCTCAAATATAGAATTTCAATAGTCAACCCTTAATCATGTCTATAAAGGACTGAGTTGTAGCAGAACATTTAGGAAAAACAAATGGAAATGTATTGTAAGTTTTAGTGTTAACTGGAGTTGTGACAAAACCACATGATAAATGGATTAAAATGTGAAAATGACCATACAACCAGTCTAGTACTGGATCTGAGCGAAGTTGTTATTTTTATTTTATTTTTTATTGCTCATGGCTGAAGCAAGCAAAGCCATGCTGCTGGAAACCAGAAGTCCCGGTCTTATCAGCCGTGTTTCCACATGGTGTTCACTGAGAGCAAGCCCTCTCTGCTGTTCAAGAAAATTATGAACTCTTTAAGGAATTTACTTTACTGTAATATCAGATGTGCTGTGGGATAATAAAAATGTCTGAATTATTGTATGTGTAAAGAGTCTGAGTCTATAAAAGTGCATAAATTTGTTACAACTTAACCACTTACAAGTACAGTGGTGCCTTGAGTTTATCAAGTTTTAACTTGTCCTGAGATTGAGCTTTTCTCAAATTACGTGTCAAATCAGTGTTCCCCATAGAAATTGAAATGCCCTTAATCTCTTCCAGACTCCCAAAAAAACACTTTTATAACAGTAAAATCATTAAGAATAACACAAAACTGAATATATTTTCTGCAATGAACTACAGTAGTTTAAGTACACTGTTAAATGTACAGCTTCGATATGGTGCAGACTGGAAGTGCTGAGCTCATACTGCTTTGCTAAGTCGACTACATGCATGCCTTGTGTTTTTCAACAATTTCTTTCTTCAGTTCAATGCACATCATCCGCTTTTTCTCAGTGCCATCCTTTTGTTCTCACCTTTTTTGGTCCCATAGTCGGCAAAAGCTGGTTTGTGAAATTTTATAAAAAACTGCGAGTGGAACACAAACGCTTGAACCGCGAGCTAACTGCTTAAAGCTAAATGAGATGGTGAACACCTATTAGGGTGTTCACTCCTGCATTCGTGACACCATCTAGCAGTGGGGTGTGTGAAGTTCGCTCGTAACCCAAATTTTAGCTCTCAACTCAAAGCAAAAATATGAGACTGCTTCTATATCTTTTTTTGCCACTTCAGTAGAAAACAAAACTGAATGTTTACTTTCTGCATCATCAGTGGCTTTTTTTTAATACTGTAGAAAAAAGAAAAAGTAGAAGAGAAATATAACAGTAAAGAGAGAAACCGATGGAAATTATGTGACGTGAAATGAACACCAATAACAGGACACCACACCCAACATCTGGCCATCAGCAAATGAAGAGAGCAAACACCCAGTGACCAAACTTAAACAGATGTATGTATATATACCCATACACACGAATATACATATACGCACATATACACATTCACACCTACGTACAATAGTTAACCTCGTTAATATACACAAAACACACACACCTATATGTAGGAATGAGTTACTTATGTAAAATAAGCCCCCTCCCCTACACCTTCTCATAACAAGGTTATGAGAGATATTTTACCAAGGTTTTCCTCATTACTTTAATATTTGTCTGTACAAAGTGAAGAGTGACACAATGAGGGAACGTTAGACGAGTTCAAGTTGATTCATAAAAGATTATGCAATCATTTATTTACACAAATTGAACAAATCATAAATTACGCCTGATTGTGGACTTCCTATAATAGCGTCCAAGTTAAAATGAGATAAAAAACCCGCGTCCGACTTTTCTTTCACATTAAAACTCAGATTACTTATATAGAACAGTAAACGTCAGCTCTGATGTTTTAACTAAACAATTTACTGGCACTTTCACTTAGGGTTGGCAAAGGATAAAGGGTAAGAAAAGGTAAAAAAAATTAAGGATTAGTGTTTCTGCTTTTATTC